AAGGCATACGCAGTGTGTACACAGTGTGTGTGGATACACACATTTCTCCTATTAACAGACCAAATCACTGCACTTGACTGGAGGCTTTACACTGGCTTGACTGAGGGCTGAGACCTGGTCACTCAGCCCTGGGGTTGGCTGAGTTAAACCAGAGGCATGGCTGGGTCTGTGAAGCCTGTTAGGAATGTTTGGGCACACAAAAATGTTCTTGGCTTTTGTACGATACAGCGTTGGGAAAGAACAGGAGTGGAGTACAGCTAAATTCTATAAGTTGTTATTCTATGCACAGTAGGAAAAAGTCATCTTCAGAAGTTCAGCATATGAAATCCTTTTCATATAATCACTTTTCATCAGTTAGGTGAAATAGTGTATTGTAACATGGATAGTTCTGGAAAAAGCAGCTTTTTAAACAACACAGCATGTGCAAAGTTTCAAGACTGAGAGTTAAAGCATCTCTGTGTCAGTGAGCCTGAAGCTCTGCTTTGGACAAGTAGCTTGGAAATGTCTATATTCAGCTGTAAAGTTAATGTATATTTACTGGTATTCCCTTTAGAGCAACAGGGCCTATTTTTTAAAGCTGGAGAACTGTGACTAGGTTATCAGTAGAAAAAATGGTAGAACAAAATTATTAAAAGGAATAAGTTAGTAGAACTACTTTTTGTTAACCCAGGAGCTCCAAAAGAGCTGAGTAAATTTACTTGCTGTTTGGCTTGCCCTCTTGTATAGTATCAGAGAAATGGAAGACTACAAGTGTCACCAGTTGTAAAATGAGGCTTAAAAGGGGTGGCTGGGACCAAGAAAGCTTAAATGTTGGATAGATTGTTTTGATTATGTTAAGAAATAAAATTAGTAGACTGATGTAGAAGTACATCTGTGAAAAATCCTAAATATTTTAAGGTTAAAAAAGATCTTTAAAGGCAGGACTGATTGGAAATCAGTAATTCCTATTTGAATTTCCTACACAAAGTCCCTGGTGGGTACCAAAAAACTTCATCTTTTCTTTCCAGTCCTTTCTGCATGTGCAGCCTGACTGCTTTGGTTGAACTCCTAATATATTTAGCTTCTTAGACTTTTCTATTTGGCTTCTTATGGATGTTTTAAATGGAAGTAAGTGAGATCATTGGGACAAATAAAATGCTATCTGTATATATTGTTAATACTGATCAGTACTGATATCTTTTAAGATGTGTTATGCATTTTTAACACCAGTGATACAGCAGTATTTTGAAAACAAAGCACAGTTCTCCTTTGGCTAAATCACCAGCAGTATTCCTTCAACCACCCAAATGGTCCAGGATAGACTCTTGCAGAGTGATATGAAATTATTCAGAGTTGGAGCATTGGGTGTTGTGTTAACATTATAGGAGATTTAATATTGTTTGAATATCTCATTTTTGAAGTTAAATTAAGACAGGAACATGACTCGTTGCAGTTACTGAATCCTGAAGTCCTTTTTTCCTGATGGCTTGGAACAAATAAAGATGAAGCAGCCAAAACATTAATGCACAATAATCGACTACAAATGTCTGTAAACATGTTCTGTTAGGTTGCTATGAAACTCCTTATTCCTGGCGAATGAGAAGATGACTATGAGACTGCCTTAAAGCTTTTGTCTCTTACACAAAGGGTCAGTGGTAATTTGAGCAATCTTTGTTCTGAAAATCACAAAGATCAGTCCTTTTTTGTTTAAGTAAAATTGAACCAAGTATTGCTTTTTTCTTTAATGTTTGTTCTTCATAATTTCAGATTTTCCTTGTTAGGGAAGACTTATATAGTGTTTTTTTACTTCCTGAACATGCATCTAGTCTTACTCCTGAGTTATTGGGATGGAGCGATGAGAAGAATAATCCTTTTTTTTTTTGACATTGCTTCCCTCAGTAGCTGGCAAAGGGCACGGACCTGTTAAGATGGCTGAAACCAGGAGTGTTTATAAAGCCAGGCAGGTTAATTGAAATGCACACCAGCGTAATGTCTTCCTGCAGGGGCTGACGCACCTGGCTGCAGAAAATACAGAGGTGCTGCTTTCACCTGGGCTGACGAGTCAGCTCCTTGAGTTGGTGTTTGTTTTGAGCTGTGTGGCTGACGCAAATCATAGGAGAGGAACACATTTTAGGAAATGTTTCTTTGTTGGTAAGGAAATGAAATATAGAAGCACAAAGTATCTCTGGGTTGTTTGTCTGCTTCAGTCAGATTTCAGCTGAAATCTGACTCAGCTGGTTTGCCGAGGATGGTGTGAATGGTGGCTTATCAAAATGGAGTTCCTTTTCATGTATTGGAAAAAAGTGAAAAATAAGAAAATATGAAATAAAATAGATAAAAATATATAATCTTAATGCATTTAAATGCTAAATATTTAAATATTTTGTGTTACTTTTAGTAATGATTTTCATACTGTATCAATAAACATAGAAGGTTAAAGCAACACCATACGATTTTTAATGTTTGGGGAAATGAATATATTTGTTTTATCCTAACAATGTGTATGTCTTTTTGTCATAAGGGGCTAGATTTTATAAAGAATGCCCTACTCCTTGAAACTCTGCTTGAGGTTGTTTTCTGATGTAATATGTAGTAAAGTGCTGTAGGATTTTCTTTTAAGAGGTCAGTATTATTGTTTTAATGCTGCAATGAAAACCATTCCTGAGTAATAAATTTCTTTCATTGAGTTCCCTCGCTCACTCTTTTCTAAGTCATAGTGCTTCAGAATTGTACCTTTAGTCCTGAAACTCCAAACTAGGTGCTTCACATTACAGCTGTCTTGTTACATTTCACTTTTGCTTTAATGATTTTCACTTCACTTATTTCATCATACTCCATTGATAACAATGTGATACCTCTCATTTAATATTTCATTAGTATTTCAGCAGTTTTAGTAGGATGTATTTTATATTTTGAATTATAGTGTTACATGTTAGCGTGGTGGGGCTAACATGCTTTTAAATTATTTCACCACCCTAAACTGAAATTAAAGAATTAATTTTCAACTTCGTATCAATTATTAGTTAAAAGCTTATTTTACAGGATTGTTCAAATACATTTCAATTTTTGTGTGAGGGTTATTTATTTATGGAACCTGTGTATTAGGCTATTGCAGTGTACTCTGAATAATCGGTTAATAAAGAATAAGGTTAGGTAAGCTATAAGCCTTAGATCAAAATATCCTGTAAACAAGTGAAGTGACAAATAGTGATCTGCTGATGGATTTGTAAGAAGCAGGAAAGTAGAAAGCAGGAAGGAAAATTACCAACATTACCATATATCATCATATTGTTAATACAATTTTAGTTTAGAGGGAGTGCACCAGAGAATGTGTGAAAAACGAGTTAATTTAATACTTAATTAACTATTCGCATTTTAATACTTGCGAAAAGCCAATCATAAAATACACATTTTTCACAGAATGCAATATAGGAACTGAAATTACAGCTCCTTCAGGGATGAAAACAATTTACACAGTGAACAGTCCCTCTAGGGGAAAAATTAATCTTGGATTTTCTTTGTTTCCACTGTCTTGTATGAGAAATCATGGTGTGTCCTGCAATTGTGGCAGCTCTTTGAACTTGGTGTTGGCTTGTGTAGCCTCACTGACCCAGCAACACTGTAGTTACATTTGATGGGATTTTTTTTTTTTTACTTGCTTTAAACAAATATTGCTCGTGGAGGGGAAACAAAGGAAAGCAGAGGGAGAGCCAAAAATGTATTCACTGATATGTGTACGTACATACTTGCATATGGACAGGAGACAAGGGGTGAGAGTGGTGTGCTGGGTGACCTGTGAAAATGAAAGATGTGTCCTTTAAAGATTTGTAAAACACACCTCCCTTTAGTATATTGCAAATACAGCCTTGGACAATGGTTTTTCCCTAATCATCCCTCTCTCAAAACTTTTGTTAGCTTTCCTTTTTATGGTTGATATTGAAATTAGAATTCCTCCTAGTAACAGCTTTCCCACTTATTAGTTTAGTCTGGTTTTTTGGTTAGTTGTTTCATGGTTATTTTGTTATTGTTTAATTTATTTCATAGCCAGTGGTGTGCACTGTGCACATTTTTTCCATCCAATTTGAAGTCTTGGCATTTTCATGCATGATGGATTCCTATAGAAACCTACTGTCTACCCAATGTTCTAAAAGGAAGATTTAATAGCAGACTAAGATTTTTTTCTGCTGTACTCCCTTGGCAGAAAAGTACTGCTGGCAAATATTGTAAATGTGTCTTTTACAGGATATTGTAGTGGTGTTTCATCTCCCTCCCACTCCTACTTGTTTTTGATTTCATGAACTGAACAATTTTGTGTGCAACCATCTATTAGATTGATGCATATTTGGGATCTGAAATTACTGTGGCACAGAAATGTGTCAGCACTAAGGTAACCTTTTGCACTCCCATAGGGAAGAAATGAAATCAAATATTTTAGATTTGTAGCAGGAACTGCACTTCCTTGGAGACAAAGCAACTTATGTAAATGTGGCCTTACCTTGGGAGAGAAGAGTGCTGAGAATGGGCACTGCTGACCAGAGGCAGTGTGCTTTTGTGCAGGTGCCCCTGGACATCTGCCTGCCTTTGAGCAGGGACAGTTACTTGTCAGTGCCTGGAAAAAAAATGGAAGAAGCAACACTTACCTTTATTGTGAACTATTAAAAACACTTGTAAGTATTGTTCACTCACATATAAGCATGGGGGGTATGCATGTTTAAATGTGAATACATCAGAACAAATTTTCCTTCAAGTGTTAAGAATGTTTTAAGTTACAGAAACTGTTCTTAGCTTTCATTTAGTTTCTCCTTTTCTTCCTCTGGGTTGTTACAAGTTAAAGTATCTGTACCTCTAATGGATGGTTATTGTTGCTACACCTGTAAAAGCCCATCTAAACAGCCATATGTTTAATTGCATGTGACTTATTTATAAATAAAATATTTCCGGGACAATATTTTCTGCTTAAAGCTGGTTATATTAAAGGAATTGTGTGGTTTTTTTGTTTGTTTGTTTTTTTTTTAATACAGGTAAAGACAGAGTTTTCAACACCCCTTTATGTGAACAAGGAATTGTTGGCTTTGGTATTGGAATTGCTGTTACAGGTGCTACAGCCATTGCAGAAATTCAGTTTGCAGATTACATTTTTCCAGCATTTGATCAGGTTAGTACTAATAAATTTGAGAGCGGTTAAAATAAATCTTACAACTGTTTAAATTACTCTTCTGTTAGCATTAGTACTTGGTTTGAATATGTAATTTTTGCAAATATAGCCACAGCTGCATTACTAATATTTATGCATGCTTTAGGTAAACAGGCATAAACTGCAAACAGTGCTAGTACTGTACTGTAAACAGTAAACTGTACCATGTCAAATTTGAAGGCTTATTAAATAATGGAAATTAAAGATCTGGTTTGAGGCAGATGTCTGTTTGTTTTCATTTTTGGTTTTGTGGCTGTGTTGGCTTTAGCAGCCATAAAGTCAACAGTCTGTGTCTTCTGAACACAGTCTCCTTTCTGCATACAGCTGCAGCTGGCCATGTGTCCACAGGACAAAGTACAGGTCTGGACTGGGCTGATTGACAGTATAGAATGATGAAACAACTGGGTTATAAGGCTGCCCCTGAGGCTTAGGCATCTAACTTGAACACAATAAATTATTGGTTTATTGCCTTGGGAAATGTTTGTCTTTGTGCTGACTTACAGTATTCCTTTGCTTCTAATTTCGTCCTCTGAATCCCATGCATGGAACAGATGATGTAGCTACATTGCATGTATTGAAGTGTCTTGATGCATAACTAGAGGTATTGGACTGAATGTTACTTTTGTATATAAATCTTCCCAGATTGTTAATGAAGCAGCAAAATATCGTTACCGCTCTGGAGATCTGTTCAATTGTGGAAACCTGACCATTAGAGCACCGTGGGGCTGTGTGGGTCATGGTGCACTATATCACTCTCAAAGTCCAGAAGCCTTTTTTGCTCACTGTCCAGGAATAAAGGTATAATAACTCTTATTTTATGAAGATTTTTTTTTGTTTGTTTGTTTGTTTTATAATGGACCTAGCTAACAATGAGTCTGTGTGCAGACAGGGGAAGGAGAGTAGGTGTCAATCCACGACAAAATATCTGAATATGTTAATTAAAAACTATTAGAAAACTTAAACTGTTAAGTGTTTGAAAATTTATAGCCATTATTGAAGCAATCTTTAGTACACATAGCATTTTATATTTGTCTGTTTTTTTGCACTACAACCATACATTTTACATAGTTTTGTGTCCAGTATAGTACAGAACCTAAAAACTAACACTTAATAGGTAGTACTTTTCCTTTTATTTTTTTTAACATTTGTGTGTCTCTCTTAAGTGCATTATTGAATTAATTTATATGAAAGACAGTGGTGGGCAGTAGGCACAAACTGGAACACCAGAGGCTCTTTCTGAACATGAGGAAGTACAGATTGCCAGAGAGTTTGTGGAGTTTCCATTCCTGTAGGTACTCAGAATTTGTCTGCATGTGGTTCCAGGCAACTGGATCTGGATGCCTCTGCTTGGTCAAGGGCATTGGACCAGATGACCCTCTGGAGATCCTTGCCAAACTCAACTGCTTGCTGATTCTCTGAGTGAGAACTTCAGGCAAGCTTTCTACCTGAGATGGTGGCTTCCCTTGAAGTGAAGATGCCTAGTGCTCAGGTGGATAACTTTCCTAGAGAAAGGGAAGTGTAGGATCTAGTCATCTCAGATCAAGAGAGCACTGTTTGTCAGGCTCTGCATTTTTTCCTGACCAAATTTTTGTCTGTGAGCTTGTACTTCTGGGTTAGTTGGCATCCAGTCCATTGAGCAATGACTCATGGCAGATCAATGTGGAAGATTTAAGCAGAACCAGTATTTGTGTTCTAAAGACACATGTTCATTGTTTATCTTCTGTTTATACTGTTGTCTCTGTATGATTTTGGTGTCCTAAAGCTTCAGATATTACTCATCTACAGGGAGGCCATAGGCATTTCTCCTACTTGTTCTTCTCTTAAATAAAAAACCCTGTATTATTCACACTTTTTCATTATATTTGAGGAATAGGATACATTCTTGTCTTTGTGTTCTTTTTGGTAGTTGATGTCCTCTTCTGAACTTGGAAGTATTTCCTGATTATAGACAAAAGCAATCTACAAAGTCTTTTGTCAGGTTATTGAGTCAAATGTTTTCTAGAGCTTGTTTAAAACTAAAGTAGTTTATTATTGTATGAAAGCAAAACATAGCTTAGATAGTTAAAATACTGACTCCAGGTCCAGCTAATTTCTGCTGACCTTGTAGGTCAGTCTCAAATTTTTATATACTAAACCATGGGATGAGGTTTAGTGGTCCTCTCTGGTGATTAATTCTCTTTCTGAATCATACCAACTACCTAGATTGGTGGCTAGTCTTATCAGCAAGTTAGTAAGTCAGAATTTTATTTAGTCACTTCATGTAATATGATTTCTTTGTTCCCACCTCTGATCTTTGTGTTGGTTTTTCACTTTCTTTCACTTTTCCTTGGGAAAAATGCTAAAATAGGTTGCTACCACTAAGATCTGTCATCTCAGATGCGTCTTAAAGGCACATTAATTCTGTGGAACTGATGGAGCAATCTACTATTTTTTGTGCACAGAGAAGTGTTTTAGACTCTATCTTTTGAATATTATTGCTTTGTGAAAACAATGTTGTAACTTTAATATTTTTTGCATGCTGTTTGTTGGTACTCTTCATAATGTTTCAAGATTGCAGGTATTTATGAATAACCCTGGCCCTTAAAATAGAAATCAAGAAGTTAAAATGAACTGGTGTTTCAGTTGCATTTTCAAATGTCCCATATCTAAGCATACTTTCTCAGTATTACAGGAGGCAAGTCCATGTCTTGCAAGCTGAGAAGGGCAGGGTTTGATCTTTGGAAAGAGTGGCTTTCAAAACAACCCTCTTATTAAACTTTCTGAAAGGTTTCTGGCTTTTTATTTTTTGTTTTTCTTAAGTGGCAGGTAGAGTTTGGATTGCTCAAGCCAAGGGGAGTTTGTTCAACTCTGGTTATTCAGGGGAAGGATTGTGGTCATTGGTACTTAGGCAAAGCTTATTGGGGTTTGAGAACACTGCTGGATGGGTGTATCTTCTGTCCACTGTTGTGAGGGTGTACATGGAAGACATTAATATTGATTCTCTGCATTCCATTGTACGAATATCTTCTCTCATGGTTAGAAGCTTTCTTTTTCATTTCCAGCCTGAATTTGTTCTTGACTAACTTGTATATTTAACTTATCTGTCCTTCACCGTCCCATTTATATCCTAAAACACTTGTACTCTCTTTAGTATTTGTTTTGTTAGACTAAAGAAATCAAAGTATCAAAGAAATGTTAACAGTATCTGGAGCTCTTTTGACGTCTGTTTCATTAATTTTCTTTTCAAAGGGTTGAAAGAATCATTAAGTATTCCACTTGAGTTTCTAGTAGTGATTTTTACAATAGCATTAACAGTTCCTTGGCTATGTTGTTACTTTTTTTTAGGACTTAACTGCATAGTATGCTAGTCATTTTTTGAGTAGATAGTAAATTCACATCTGAATTTCTACTCCTGAGTTCTAAATCTGTAACAAAAATGTAGTCCTTAAACATGTGACTTTCTCTATGCATTTTTCAGTTTGTTTTGGTGAACTGTGTCTTTTTAGTATAATCCTCTGTAGTGTAGTGACTTCCAGCTTTGGAATAGTCTTCATCACCATGTTCTGACTTAACATTGTAAATGAATAAGGTAAATAAAGTCTGTCCTAAAAGTGATTCATTCCTAAGGACCTGTGCTAGTGACATCCATGGGTAATTTCTCATGTGTCTGTTACCAAATGCTTTGGTGAAATATTAATAAACTGCTTCTCCCTTGTTTAGAAAATCACTTCTCAAGTTAATTTCATGTAATAGGAGATTTAGGTTGTGTTTTCACTCTTTTATATTATTTTTATATAAATAAATGATATTACTCTTAAAATATATTTTGAAGCCATGGCTGTGTTTAAAATGTATATTTTTTTTTAAACAAGTGCTAGAGCTAATGTTTTCAGTGACTTCTAACTTCAGAGCTATGAAAGTGTTTGCTGGTAGGCTTCACCCTGCATGTTCCAGCTCTTTGAGGTCCCTGGGGTGGAAATTAATTGGTTCTTCTGATTGAGGGAATTTGGCTCTTGGGTTCTATTTTCATTTAAACTGTGATAATTTGGTAATTTTCTTTTAATAATTGAAATTCTCTTAGATCATCCAAAATTAATTCTTCTATTGGCAAATGAATTATACTGTTTCCTTCCATGTATTTGGATTACATCTGGAGGCCTTAGGTTTTTTTGCTTGATAATGGTTTAAGGTATTGGTTACTTACTTCCAAAATGACCAAATTTCAAGCTTCCACCATAAGCAAAGAAAGTCAGCTTTAAATAACTATTTCCTTTTGTAGCCTTCTAAACTTACTGGACTAAGTCTGAATACCTTTAAGGTCTGTTCTGATGAATCTTTACCCAAGTAGCTGTGGATCACTCAGCTGCATTTTTTTTTTGTTGTACATCTACTTTTATTTTATCAAGGTTATGCATATATATATGTATATTAATCTGACTTTTTTCCATTTCTTTTACCTCAAATGTTACTGTTAAGATGTTACTTCTACCTTATCTGAGCACAGTACCTTAGTATTTAAATCACTGTATAGAGGGGAACTATTAAAGCCTCATCAGTGAACAAAATAAAATTCAAAATTTGGAGTGTGTTTTAATAATGTAGCACTGATGTCAATTCACTTTGTAAGGACAGCTCAATCTGTATGTAGATTTATTTAAAGCTAATAATGTCTTAGTTTTATGTATTATTGAGGAAGTTTCTAGCAAAATTGCTATTTTAACTGAAGTACTTAAAAATATTTTTACAGATTGTTATTCCGAGGAGTCCTTTGCAGGCCAAAGGATTGCTGCTGTCATGCATAGAGGACAAAAATCCATGCATATTCTTTGAACCTAAAATACTTTACAGAGCAGCAGGTAAAGATTTGTATGTTGTATTTGCCAATAAAAGCAACAAGTTTGGGGGTTTTTGCACATATATGCTAATAGTCACAGCTAAAGCAATACTTCAGTAGAAATCTTGACTTGTTTGGTCTCTAGCTATATTGTGGATTGGGTTTTTAGAGGAATTGTGAAAACTGAGTAGATTCTCAAAGTTTGACTGCAAAGAGAAACAAACATTTACCATCTGATTTATGCTCAATTAGCTTTGGAAGTGGAATGCTTTACAGCCTAAGGTTAAAAGAAGAAGTAGAACTAAGAGGTATTATTCTTTATCAAATTACAATATAAATTTAGCAGAATTTGAACTGCTTTCTTGTGGTAACACTAAATACTAAAATAAGTTTCCAGATCAATTTTTATTTTTCCAAAAGAACTGAGCCCCACCATCACCATTTTCTCAAAGTTCAAATTTCTTTGAAATGCTTAATTTCTAAAAATCTTCAAAATCTGCTCATTTAGCTTTCAACCTTATTAGAAAGAAAATGTGATTGTGATTACTTTGTTTTTAGTCATAGTGAACTTTCTGGTTCAGAGTAGTTTTAACAACTCGCTTATATGTAAAGTACTGGAACAGCAGAAATTAACAATGATGGTGTTTAAATTCATTCTAAAAATTAGCTTGTTACTTCTTTGGACTAGAGAAACTTGACAGAACAGAAAACAGATGAAAAATTTTGCATGTGGAGACAGGCAGAGAAATAGAATAAGCAACTGATAAAATAGAACTGAAGCCCTGACCTACCTGTAGCGTTTCCCTGTCCTGTGGCTTTATATGTGAACTATGCTTGATCCATCAGTCCAGTTTATAAGTTGACTCAGTGTTGGCTGAATTTGAGTGACAGACAAAATATTTCTATTTTACTTTGGGTCTTGTGACAGCACTTTTCCATCAGTGCATCCATTTTGTCAGTAAATTTTTCCTCTTCCTAGGGAGACAGTAAGAAAGGAAAAATTTAGAAAATAGACATCAGAACTACAAAAAATTAATAATATAATTCAGGAACAAATAGGATATTTACTGGTAAAACTGCTTATTTGCTTTTATATTTTAAAAAAAGGCCCAGAAATCCCATTAGCAATGTAAATTTAAAAGTGCATCTATTTTTAGTGTGGTGGGTGTGATGTATCCTTAGGGTGCTGCATTGCTTAGGTTCAGTGTTTGAGGGCTTACTAAAATTTGAGGGCTTACTCAAACAGAGCTATAAAACCTCTGTCCATTCATTTAGAGGAAGTAGTTTGAAAAACGAGCTTGAGTCTGAGTCCTGTTAAACAAAGAAAAAAAATTAAGTGTTTTTAAAACAGACCTTTATTTCTCTCCCTTGCCCCCAGTATTTACAAGTCACAAGTATAGACTGTAGAGTTATTAAAATACTTGCTTTCATATTGGCATGAAAGGCTGCACATCAATATCACACAGCTTTTGAGAATATAGGGAGGTTTTTGTATTTGAGGAAATGACTTGTAAAGCAACTACTGGACATTTATTGAACATAAATCAGGCTTGTGATGGAAATGTTGAGTAATGATGTGCTGAAATAGTGTTTAATGTGATGTATGTGCTGGTCAGTAACCAGCTACAGCATTGCTGTTATTGGTAATTTCTGAAGGACAGTGATTTCCTCCTGTATTCTGATGGCTAATTTTCAGAGACTTTACCAATATTTTTTGTCTTAAAATTTCTAAGAACATCAGTTTAGTGGTGTAAGTTGAAATTTATAGTACATTTGCATCAACAAATGTACTATATGTACATTTGACAGGGATGATTGTAACGGGTAACTTCTTTCATCTACATGGATGTTTTATTATTTCTACAATGTAAAGCAGGAATATTTTACTGTATGGAATGGTTTTTATGTTCTCCTATAAAATTGATTTCTCTTAGAGTTCGTTCTTATTCTCCTGGCCACAGTCAGGGTTTCTGGTAATTCCACCATAGAAAACCAGGTGGCCTGGTGAATTCAGGAATGGACCGGGGCTATCATGATTGATAAGATCAAGAGGCAGCAGCAATGAGACACAAGCCTGGTAAACAAGAATAAGATAAATGGTGGAAAGAAGGGTTTTAAAGATGCGACTTTCTTGTATTTCCTAAAGAAAATTTTTACAATACCCCATGTGAGTGTGTTGATTCTAGCAGGAGAAAGAAAATCATATGCATTCAGAAATTGGCTTAGACAGTAAGCTTCAACTATGTCTGTATTTATTGTGTCTTTCCATGAGTGTCTCAAAACAGTACAGGGTTTTCTGAAGGCTGGGAACACGCAGGCTTTCCAAAACAAGAACACAAAATGGTATCAGTTGTCCTCTATTACTTATCTTTTTTTTTTTTTTTTTTCTTTTTAGCATGGTATAATACTGCACCTAAGATTTGGGATCTCATTGTTCCAGATGAAAATAATTTTCTTTATTTCCATGATGATCATTGAATAATGAAATTATATGCCCCTACTATAGCTCTTTTTTTTTTCTTTAGCTTCATGTGAATAGACATGTTTGTTCAGAGAGCTTTGTGACTGATGTTACAGTGGGTGTGTAGGGACTTAGCTGAAAAATTAAGGTGTTAAGGATGTTAATGAGAAAGAAGATTTTCTATCTGTAAAATTAATGTAGGCTTTTGAGCCTCGTCATTTTCCTCTAATGGACTTTTATTTTTTCCTATGAGGCCTCTAAATACTTGTCTCTGATTGTTCAGAGTTGATATATTTGAAATTGCAGTTGAAAAGAAACTGTAGGTGGGATAGTCTTTAAAAGACAGGGTATCTGTCCTTATTCAGGAGGCCTGAAGGTAATAATGCTTTGTTTAAAACAAGCAAGCAAAAAATTAAACTAAAATAATGACAAAAATCCCACTCCTGCTCCATTCCAACCACCAAAAATTTATAACCCTTCTCTGAGTGTTCCTGACAAGTTTTTTTTCTTGTCTTAGTCATATTTGTCTTCACTTATATGTCTGCAAATTTTGTTTATAGCTTCTCCTTTTTGTTTATCATCCCATCAGATAGTTTTACTGAAAGAAACACTCACATATTCCCCATACCCTTATCAATAAGTGGGACTGAACAGGTTTGGTTCTGCCACTCTCAACCTTTGTGGTAAGGTCTGTCTCCCTGTGTGTCCTTCCTCATGGCTTTTCTCTCTTCCTGTTATCCCCTTTTGCATTGTAAAGATCCTTTTCTAGACACCCTTCAAGGAGCAGATGCTTTCTTCTTTCACATAACCATACAAGTGTTTATCAGAAATATTGTGCATGTTAATTTTCCTTCAATTATATTAGGAAGGAGCAAAGAAATGTAAACCTTTCTGAGTAAAAATCTAGAGTTAAATATGCAAGTACACGTGCAAAGAGAGAATTCTGTTGCTATTTAACTTACGAGATCATAATGTTATTGAAAGTGCCGTAGTGATGTCCCCCTAAATGTCAGAGATACTAAGAAAATATCTGAATTAAAAAGGAAAAGGAGCCTTTGATTTATAAAAAGTGTTAACAGGCTGTGCAGTGTCAAGAGAACATAATGATTATGAATCAAAGGAGAAGATGAGTCACCTTGACATTATCAGGTTTAGACATCTTGTGAAGAACCTACTCTGATGTTTTTTGACCTTTTCAGTTTCATTTAATTGTACTATATATGACATTGGTGGTGTAGAAATAAATATAACTTGCATCAGTGGTTGTTATAGAGACAAGGCAGGTAAGATGAGAAAACATGTATTTTCTTTCTGCTATTCAGACTGCTCCTTTAGAAAATGCAACAGATGTTGTAACCTCTTAAAATTGCCCTGGCCCTTTTTCACTGATAATTACAACTTTTTATTAATTGCTGTATTTGAAATCTGTGTTTGAAACATTTGATTTAAAATACTTTATTTCTTTAGTAATAAAGGCTGCTTTGTATGTAAACATTGTTATCCTGGATTAGGTAATTACTATGAAAGAATATTAATAGAATAATTTCATATGCTATTTTTCATCTGTATTACTTGGGAGAGGAGTTTTTGCAAAGCAATCAAGAAAAATACTTCAAAGTTGGAATTTTTTATAAATTTTTGACAAGCTGAATTTTTCATTTAAAATTGTCAGGTATGATGGATGAACTCATTTAATGGACATTTCAGTGCAAAACGGTTCAGCTACAGTAAGAAATTAATTAATTTGGGTAATTGTATGTTATATTTCATTTCCCTAAGTGGATAAAACCACTGCGCAGAGAAAAAACTTTTATTTCTGTATCATGTACACCTTCTAGTTCTTCCTCTGGCTCATCCCACTCCCTTCAAAACCTAATTCATGTCAATATCCTGGGTTTCCAGTCAAAGGTCCTGTGGTGTCTTTTTAAATTTCTTTTTCTCCAGGTTTCATGTAGGTGGCGATTTCATGACAAAGACAGTCATGCAATGCCAATTAGTATAGCTGTGGATTTCATTGTCTTTCAGGATCTCTTTCTGTTGCCTGAGGGTTGTACAATGTGTACAATTCATAGAAACCTGGTCTGCCACTAATGTGCAGTGAGCAACTGCTGGATGTGCAATTCTTTCCCTTACTTTCCCAGCCCTATATTTTTCTAGCCACTTGTTATTCAAAAAATTATTGCAGAACAGGATGTTTGGACTAGGTGATCTCCAGAGGTCACTTCCTGCCTCAGCCATTCTCTGATTCTGAGATATACCTGGTATTTATAGATCATTATCAACAAGAAAAAAGAAAATTGTCTGCCAGGATTGAAAATTATTTGCTACTTCGTTTTTTGAAGTTACATTTGGAACTTGTGAGCCAGGAAGAAACCTAGGTCATTCTACTTGTGTTGGATCTACCATAACAGTGAAGGAAAAATGCTAACCACTTCATTACTGCTATGACTCAGGGAGATTCTTTATTGTTACTTCAAGAAGCTATTTTGTTCAACAGGAACTCAATAATTATTTTATGAGCTATGAAATAAGTCAACAAAAAAAGGCAGAGTGTTTTCCTTATAAATTGTTTCTGTGTATTTAGAAGATTTATTTTTTTCTACTTATCACTAGAATATGTTTCAAGAAGTATTATTTGACTTGCTGGTACATAGACAAGTTCATCTTTAGATCACAACCAGTATTTCTTTTAAAATGTGTTAAATGGATGTCTTTAATCATAGTTTTAGTCATTAAACCAGTCAATGTGTAGTGCATTGGAGCACTGATTCAAAACTAGCACTACTGACCTAACATTTTTCCAGATGAAAACTAGTAAATGAGTCTTGAATGGAGCTATGTTAAATGTCTTAGGACAAGACAAGATGCCTAATTCTTGCCTTCTCTCTTGTTGTGTATTTTTGGTGATTAGGTAACATTTTTTAAAGAAAAAATATTTAGACTTACTTAAAACTGCTATAATCAGAAGTTCTTTCTGACATTCCCTATGTAGGTTCTGAAAACTTTTTACTTCAATTTAAACATAAAACTGCACAGCACCATACTTGGAGCATCAGGAGGATGCTGGCACAGGTGATCCTTTTTGTCTGAGTATTAAAGTATAATTTCAAGACTCTTCTGATGATTACTAGAATAATCAAGATTTCTGATCAATTAGTTGTTACTTGAGATTTTTTTATCAACTGTAGCAGTGTCCATTTCCAAATCTGATGCTGACATTTTGACTTGGTGTACATCAGAACTTATTACTATCTTTTGCATGTGTATATATGCATAATCTTGTTGTGGTATATAACAAATTAAACTCTACACTGAACATATTTGTAACAGTCTAATTAAAAAGAATTTGAATTGCAGCTAAACCTTTGAAATGAATGCTAATACTCAATTATTTTGGTCTAATGCTAATAAAATCACACAATTGTTAGGGATGGAAGGAACCTCTGGAGATCATCCAGTCCAACCCCTCTGCCAAGGCAGGGTGACCTAGAGCAGGTGACACAGGAACACATCCAGGTGGGTTTTGAATTTCTCCAGAGAGGGAGACCCTACAACCTCCCTGTGTTGTGGGGTGTTCAGTGCTCTGCCACCCTCAACATAAAGTTCTTCCTCATATTGAGGTGAAGCTTTTTCTGTTTTTGTTTATGGTCATTGCTCCTCATCCTGTCACTGGGCACCAGTAACATACTCAGTGTAATTTTAGTCTATTATTTTAGATGGCTTCAACAGTGAAGAAAAATTTCAGTGTATGTTTTTATGGGATAATATTGACTAATAAAGGTATCTTTATTATTCTTATTCTGCCCCCTCTCTCTTTTTTCAGTGGAACAAGTTCCTGTAGAGCCCTACAACATTCCACTGTCTCAAGCTGAGGTGCTGCAGACGGGCAGTGATGTGACAATGGTTGCTTGGGGCACTCAGGTCAGTAACTCTCTTAGAAGCTATTTGTCACCCAGCAAAGCCTGGCCTAGGGGGTCGGTGATATTTGCATGCAAGCTCAAGTGCCAGACGTTAAAATGTGTGTGTCTTCCATCACTATATGCTGGGATGAATGTTTGCCAGTGTTTAAATTTCTATAAAACCTGTTTTTTGTTGTGTAAGTTTTTACCCATTTTTGGTTGAAGATGACTCTGGAAGCGTAGAAGAGGTACCTGTGCATCAGGCTAATGATTTTTCTATGATTATGGAAATGATAGATTTAAGAATGGGGCAGTGAGATGTAACTGAGGAGGGCAGTGGGAAAGAAAAGTTCAAAATGGTATGCGGAATGAAAAGTATAGATCTTCATTGCATGATTTAAAGAAGTGTAACCTTGGGGTCCCTTTCTACAGAAAGTTAAAAATGCATGGAACAGTAGGGATTGGTATAGGTTTGATTCTAACAGTTACATTTCAAAGCTGTTCAGGAACATCATTGACAACCCCCCCTGCCTCCCCTCTCCCCCAGCCAAATTAAGGTCTGCAAATATTGAGAAAGCTTTTTAGAAAATACATCTTCGTACATCAGAATTACAGAAAAGAAATTTGAGTCTAGCTTGGACTAATCAGAAGTTGCTATTTTCTTGGCCTAGTTGTATCTGAGAAGCTTTTAGAGGAGAGGAGCTTAGAACTTTTGTGACAATTGTAGGATTTATTTATTTTATTTATGTAGGATTTATTAATGCCCTCTGATCTTTGGGCAACTGACACTGCCTGACCGCGTCCAGGTTGCTAAATTCTGTTGCCTTCAAGATGAAGATGACTTCATTCAAATTGATTATTGGGGATGGTCCTCGGCTTTAACCTCTTAACTATGCCTAGAAGTTGCTTGATGGAGGTCATTTGCTAGTCCAAAACTGCATTGTGAAATGTTCTAACAATAAAGAGAGCACCAGAGTTTATTGGCAACGTCATACTGAGAATTTTTTCTACCTTCATATCTCAGGAGCAAATGTTTCTTGCTGAGATATTTGTGGAGGATAATCTGAGTTGTAACAGTTCTTATTTTCCATGTTGGAGCATTTGCTTGCAAATATTTGTTTTAGAGAAGCCAATGCTTGAAATACATTTTGCTGAAAAGTGTATTATAACCGAATGTCAAGATACAGTTTTGAATGTGTATAGTATTACTTTCTTTACTGTTCTTATCATAATACACCTTATGTAAAGGATGGATATAGATCTGAAAGACTTATATCTACTGTGATTCACTGCTACTAAATAAAAAGATTCCTTGATTGGTGGATAAGGAATAATCTGTATTCCAGTTCAATGATAGCCTCCTGCTAGAGGGGAATACTTCTTTTATTTTAGTAGAATGTTAATTATAGTAATCAGGTAATACAGCATTTGTATTGTTGGTGTTAAACTGTGTGTTGGAAGAACAATAAATGATTATAATGTCGTGCTACTGCTGTATGCTTTGATTATGGGGATCAGGAACTGGATATTTACAGGTAGTAGTAATTACTTTTTCTCCTAGCTGTTCATAAGATAATGCTTTGGAGATGATCACTTGGCTGTGTTTCACTAAATTAGAGGAAGAGTAGTTACTGGGACTACTAGAACTGTTTCTTGGCTTTTTGGCTAAGATCAGATGTGTTGCAGTGTGGCATTTCTGAATGTATTTAATGATTCTTGCTGGATTGCATGGGACTGCTACATTAAAATACATTACTCTGATGTATTTGGGTATTAGCTTAGTTACAGTCCTAACAAAAATCTTCCAAAACTCATTCAAGCTGATTGAAAAAAAAAATAGTGAGGACTGATACTATTCACTGAAAGACACTTCTCTAGAAAGCAAATTTTTTTCTCAGTGATTCTTCAGTGAATTTAGTTTTTGGAGTGGTTCTAAAATACTGGGAATAATTAGGTACTTAATAAAAAAATGCACTAGATACTAAATGGTTATTATTGAATAGAAACATCCCTGCTCAGCATGCTGGTGATATGTCAAATTACTGCTTGTATTCCATATGTGTAATTTAGAGCAATTTGCATAATTTAGATTATTTGGTGATGATACATTGTTTTTTCAGGTGCATGTGATCAAAGAGGTGGCAGCAATGGCTCAAGAAAAGCTTGGTGTGTCCTGTGAAGTTATTGATCTGAGAACCATCTTACCATGGGATACAGAGACTGTTTGCAAGGTAAGGAAATGATGCATATTAATTTAAAAACAAGCTAGGTTATTTAAAAAAAAAACCAAACTACATTTTTTGCTTTGTTTTGTATTTTTTGTTCTGTATCATAAATGCAGAGTACATGCATATTGCATGGACCAGACATTTGCTTTGGCATTGAAAGGGAATTATGTTTCCGGGCTCAAAATAATGTCAGAATACATGTTCTTTATGTTCAGGTGGAGGGTATGATTTAATCAGACTTCTGCCTGCAAATTGCTTTTCCATGATTTCTGAGTCTTCATCTTTCTGACATCCTTGCTGTCTTTGGCAAAACCTTTATCTTTTTTATTTTCTTGCTGTTTTACATTAAGATCTTCATCTAGTTGTAGGTCTGCAGTAATGTGCCTCAGTGTTGTATATCTGTATTTTTAGAAATCAGTGTTTTGATTTAAGCTATATGAATTCTTGGGTTGGGGAGAAAAAGCAGCATTTACTCTTCTCAGACTACCTAGTTTGAAATTCCTGGGTACTAGAAAGTCCTTTTCTTCTTTGTGGAAGTCTTTGATGTCACTGACAGAACACTTGCTGCTTCTGCTAGAGCTGAGTTTCCTTAATCTGGCAAATCCACAGTACTACAGGACCATGGCTAACAACTCCTTGGGTCCTAATTCATGCTGGGCTCACTTGCTCATTTTATGGTCCTAAACAAATTATTCAGGAGATTGAGAAATGTCTGCAGCTTTCTTAGCTCAGGCCTAGTGACTGTAGTGTACTGAGTTAACCACAGGGATGAGAGCAGCCATGGGCTTGGAAAAAGGTGTGTGATTCCATCAAATACTTCCTCTGCCTGCAGTTTCTAATGTAAGGCAATATGGTGTCGTGTGCAGCTAACTCAGATTGTACAGATGTTTAAATAGGGCAGATCAGGCACATACCTGACTCTATATACTTGGAATATCTTGATTGTGTCAACAAGTGTTTTGTCATTCTGTGTTTGCTCAGTAAGGGCCTTGCTTCTGGTCAGGTAACATATAAACACATTAAATATGGTAAAGGGAAAGATGGGCCATTGATCTGCTACTCTATGGCAAAGCTTGCATTTCTCCTCAGTTTTATTGATTTGAGGGACTGCCAGTGGGATGGGATAGAGTAGATTATGGGAGGAAAGACCCATGTTGTGCATTTGCTATTGGCAGTGTTCTGCTGCCTGGTTCTGGATGTGTTACAAATTGTGTACTTACACGTGTAGCTATCAGTTGCCTCATATAAATTTGATGTTCTTGTTGAAGTGTTTTCATTTCTTTGTTTGAAGTGTATTTCTTGTTACTTGGATGTACTTTCTAGCTGTAAAAAATGAAATGTGTTGAGTTACTGTCATCAATATGAAGTGAAATTTTGGCCATAATAAATACTTTATAATCTTTTCTGGACAAGTAAAATGATTTTTTTTTTTAGGTAATTCTTCTTCCTTCTTTGAAGATTCGAGCTGTCATTCTTTGAAAACAAAATATCTCTTTGAAAGAGCACTTAAGTCTGTTTTGTTGGGTTGGACCTGCACTGAAATGCCATGAGGAAAAAATGTAGCTGTGAATAGGAAATGCAGAGCTTTAGTTGTACAATATTTTGCAAATATGTTCTTTAAATTTGGATACTCCATGAAGATTTTGTTCTCATTCTCATGTTCTGTCCTGAACATCTTTTAAGGTAACTGGGACATAAGTAAAAATATCATAGAATAGTTTGAGGCCAAAAGGACTTCAAAGATCATGTAGTTTCAACACTCCTGCCATAGACAGAAGCATCTTCTATTAGATCAGGTTGCTCAGAGTCCCATCCAGTTGGGCCTTGAAAACTTTCAGGGCTGGGGCACCCACAGCTTCTCTGAGCAGCTTGTTCAGTGCCTCACTGCCCTTGCAATGAAGGTGGTTTTTTTTTTTCTAATATCTAATCTAACCCTTCTCTCAGTTTGAAGCTCTTCCCCCTTGTTCTGTCACTACATGCTCTTGTAGAAAGTCTCTTTCCATCTTTATTGTAGGCTCCCTTCAGGTACACGAAGGCTGCAATTAGGTCACCCCAAAACCTTCTCTTTTCCAGGCTGAACAATCCCAATTCTTAGTGTTTCCTTGTAGGAGAGGTTTTCCATCTCTCTAAAAGATGGAATAGATGGACCTGTTGCTTTAAATCTGTTAAAAAGTTTACTATAAAGAATTAAGAGAATCATTTCAAAAATTGTATAGTGCCTGTTGGCTAGGCAGTTCAGCTGTTTATTATAATAAATACCAAACAGTAAATGTTTTTAGTTAGCATTGCTGTTATGTTAGTTTGGCTGTATGCTAGCTGGTCTGATGGGAGAAATGTTAAATTCTCTTCTTCTTTAGATCTTGTCTGTTATGCTCAGCTGAAAATAATTAGCGGTTTGCGTTTGTGCATTAGTTGGTTGCATTATGTAACACTGAAACTTTTTAAATTTAATTTGCATCCTGGACAGTTTTTAAGGTGATTGCTAGTGTAAACAGATGGATGGAACTACAGCTCTAGTCTCATCCCAAGAGGAGCTGCTTGTGGCAGCTGTTGTAGTTGATAGTGGCTCACAGCATCCATTTGGGTAACGTGACTTGTTATTCCCTTCCTGAGATGCCAGTGTCAAGGTCCAAAAGATCAGTAGAAAAGTTGGCCATTCCAGAGAAAGTCCTCAGCTGTCCATTGGTCTGCTTTGTTCTCTCTGTGGGCTCTTAAATGCTAATGGAATTACTTTTACTCCAGTCCAAGCAATGATCAAATTATCAGCTGTTACAGGTCTGACTATTTGCCTCTGACTATCACTTGTGTCAGCACTCATAAACATCAGGCCAGCTTTTTGTTTTTCCTTGTCTTACATGTGTGTTTAAAATGCATCTGTTTGTCCTGTGAGATGCAGATGGTGGTGCACATAATATGCTGGAATGCACGGTCCATGGCTGATGGAAGTCTGTGTGGTGTTGGAGACCAGGACTTTGGGTTTTGCTGTAAAAACACATCCCTGAGTTTCACTGCTGGGAGTGGTGTCCTTTGTGATTAGTGAAGGCTGTCATTTTAGTCTTAGCTGGAAATACATGCAACTTTAGTTTGACAGCTGTGATGTAGCCATGAAGAGGGATGAGCTGAAATTGTTAGTGCTCTGGAGATGAGCACTAATATGTAAATGTTCACTGCAAATCTAACTCCTTTGTCTGCTTTCTGTAGCTTTTTTACTACAGAAAATTATGTAATCAAAATTCATATTTTCTAGAATGATGACAAGCTGTACTTCACAACTGCCAGCAGAGGCCTCTTCTAGCCAAGTTAAGCATCTGCTTTGACTTTGCATTGCTCCTATGAGAGTGTTTGTGAATAAATATCTCTGAGAGAAACATAAATAAACTTAAAGAATAAATACAGTGAGCATAAATAGAAATTGCTGCCTAAGTTTACTTTTTTTTTTTTTTTGCATTTTTAAGATTTTGAGATTCTTCTCAGTTTTGAAATAGGTTAGCATTTGTCATCTGCATGAGGAGATGAGGTTGCACCTGCCTGGAGCAGACTACCATGGACTTCTAATGGATCCCAGCAGTTACTGAAACTTTTTTTGGTACAATTCCTGGAATGGGTCAACATGCAAACAGGGGCTAGATTTTTCTTTTGTTGATCTTCAGATGTCTAAGAAGGAAAAATGAAGGTTGACCTAGTTAGAGGAGCTCTTAGAGCTATTCTAGAGAAAGGATATTTCTGCAAATGCATCAGCAGTCTGGTTTTTTCATGAGATAAATTGGCCTCTGGAAATGTCATGGTTTAAAAATTTGGTCTTTAAAAAAAAAAAGGGAAACTGTAATTTTCCTAGAGTAAAGTTAGGTGAGGCAAATTGAACTCTAATTTTGTAGCTGAGAAATGACACCTGCTGCTGAGATAAAGGACATAAGTAGTTTAAAAAAACATATCTGGCATTTTTACTAGGATAAAAGCAAAGAATCTGTGTTTTATATACATTTCTGTACATTAAAATGCATGCTGATTTGTGATCTTTCTAAGGTCTTTTGAAAGAAAAATGGGGTAGATTGTACAGGTTGTACGTGCACAGGCTCCCAGTATATTGCTTCTGAATGAGACACGAAGCAAAAGCAAACATGTGCTTTTTCCCTGCAGGATTGAAAGTAAACCCACATTAACTCTCAATATGTAGCTGTATAAATGAACTGAAAAAGTTTTGTTGTTATGTGTCAGAAAAGTGGCACAAGCTTATTTAAAGAGTATGTGCTGCCTTAGCTGCTTCCTTAGGAAGTGTAACAGCAAAGGCTGTCCTTAGATTACTGAACATCTTGTCCATGTATACATTTTCAAAGTACGGTGTCATTGTGGTCAGTGAGAAATTTGTTAGGTCTCTTGTTTACCTTGACAATCTTCACTGATTTCTGACTAAAGCTCTTGTTTTATTCGCTAGGACTGGAGTATAAGTAGTACAGCAGTTATAACTCAAGGAGAAATGAGCTAGCTGTCCACAGAGTTTATTTTTTTGAGGGAGAGAATGGTTTCCCTGTGCTTATTCTAGCATCAGCATCCTACATCTGTCTGTTTTATTAATGTATGAGTGAACCGGGATCAGGAGTGATTTTTTTCCCATTATACCTTCACCTGTAAACACAAGTGCATGAAGTTAATATGTTTCTCAACATATCCTGCTGATAAAGAAGCCCTGAATGCTCTGCTGACTCCCCAGCTGTTCATGTGCATGCAGCCATCTGCATTTAGTGCAGCCACAGCAAAGATGTCAGTTCCTAATCCTGACAGATAACACTTTTCCACTACTTGATTGATTAGCTGTGTTATTATTGAAAGACTAAGCTGCCATGAAGGACACTGCTCAGAAAACTGAAACATGAGTCATGTATGAAATGTCTATAAAATTGGTTATTTATAAGCCACAAAACTGTTTAAAAGCACTTTTTCTCCCTTTCAGAAATGAAGTTTTCAAGCAGAAGTATAGTATAGTTATTTCCTTCACTATACTTAAC